CAAGCCAAAAAAATTATGTTGAACTTCAGCATTTTCTAAAAAAGCTTTCCTAAAAATAAAGAAGGCTATAGATACACTTTAGGAAGTGTACACACAGGATGGTTTAAAGAATACGGCTGAATATTTTACACCATTCACAAAGGAAAACACTTCAGCATTAATATCTTTTAGCAGACATTAAGTAGTGTACATTTACAAATTGATTTAGAATTCACAATATTTTCTATGTTTTCATTGTGTTTTTGCATTGACTAAAACACAAAAAACTGCACTTAATTGAAGTAAAAGTGTATTTAACCTCATATTATTTAGACAATAGAAGCATAACATAATTATCACAATAATGGTTGTTCTGTTTGTTACTTCATCACCCATTAATATATTGTATAGACATGGGCAGTTACAATACAAAAATGTAAAAGCTCCTAGAAATTATTATTAAACTAAAGGGTTTTTCTACGACAATATTTTCTTTGATGTTTGGTTGCTATGATTTACATCACATTGTTCCTGCTTGTCATCACAGCACTACGCATTGGACAGAAGGTGACATGTTCACTACTTGTAATTGCATCCCATAGTCTTTAACTGCCTATAAAGCAAAATATTATATAACGATATATGACAGGCTTTCAAGTAAGAAAATGGGACAGGCGATGTTGCAGGTAGATTGACAGTAGTGGATCAAAGCTAAAATGTATTTGACAAATGTATTTGATAATGACCTAGTTTGTAGACTATAACAATGTGAGATGCAAAGTTGAAAAAAAAAAACTTCAGTCCATCCTCTGCAACCTGCAGCCCTTACTGAATCCTAAATTTACCTAGTAAATATGCCTCCATATGCCTGTACTCCAGCACTTGAAAGCTGTTTGCTGTTTTAAGACCACCTATACATATTGCCAACTTTCTCTGAACATGGGTGAAAGGAATGGAATACAAGCCATTAGGAATTAGGCAGTAGGCTTTATTAATGAGGAAAAACATTGCCTTTACAAAACAGATGATGAGGTGGTGGTCACCTTTTCTATTGGCCCAAATGCTTGTTTTGTACCAAATCGGTCCTCTAGTATCTTGCCCAACTGTACCCTTTTATTACTACATGCTCACTTTAAAGTAGACTCTGAACCAAGTGGAGCTAACTAATATCTCTAGGAAACATGCATGCAGTTATTCTAAACAAACTCATATTAAATATGAATAACAGAGAGTCATTTTAACCTCATTTTACAACCATAATTGTGCTGGGTTGTGTTTGCCCCAGAGATGTTTCTAGGTGTTATTCTGAAATGAGCAGGTAGTGAAAATATAGGCGTGATTTGAGAACCTATCATAAAATAATGTTTGAACTTCAAAGCCTACGCTCTATAGCCACCTAACTCATATACCACAGTTGATGTACTGATCTGAAAGAAGATTCCTATAAGAGAGGCAAGCATATGGCGAGACTATGTGCTAAATGAAGACGGTACCGCTGAGACCTCCCTGTTCTGCAATGGCATTTTACAGAGAAAGCACAGTTTGGGTAGATGAAGCTGGGACTATCTGCAAGCTTCTCCCTGACTTCTAAGCCTGAAATGTTATATTGTATTATAGCGTGCTAAATTATTTATGCGTTTAGGCTTACTATAGAAATGCAAAACAGACATCATCAGATTTTCCTTCCAGGATTATCTATTTTATCTTGCTCTCCAGCAGCAATGGCCACTTGTAACAAATATCTATTGCTGGTTCTCTTACCAACAAGTAGTAGATCACTAATAGAATATATTTATAGCTGTGGACATGTAGAGGAGAAGGAAGAAAGAAGGAAAGATCGTAGGAAGGAAGGAAGGGAAAGGGATTTATTGTGGCACACATGTATAGAATCCTCTGTAACAAAATGTTCCAGGCTATCCCGACGCTTGCACTCTACAGTCCCATTTATTCCTATGGGCTTCTGATTAAGATCTTGTACCCAGACATTTATAGAAACTAAGCTCATAGTGCCTAACCTAAACCCCTTTGGAACCCATTGTGCAGCCATTGGGCTTCTGGTTTTCCATACTGTGGTGCTTACTCAATCCAGTGAAGAAAAAAATATTCTTCACTGGCTTCAAGTAGTTCAGTGGTTTGGTTTATTTCCTACACAGTATTTCACTTTTTTCTGTGCTGTCCATCCCCTTGCATGTTTTTTTTTTCACCGATCTGATCTTATAATGGATCTTGCTGAAGAAATAACAAATGTGGCACACTATGGGTGTTGGGTGCACAAATATGAAAACATTGATTCATAAAAAGAGACAGTCATGGCCATGAACCTTAGAAGTCTCATGTCTATGAATGTCTCCTGAAGCCCAGTCTCCAACAAATAATATAGCATTTTTGCAGTTTCTGACCATCCACTGCAGAATGCAGCATATCCCAAAGTCTCTCACCATCTCTTGTAGAATGCATGTAGTCTTTGACTTTCTTCTGTTGCATGTCTGCAGTCCCTGGCAGTAACATCACATTCAATTATTATTATCTGTGGCCCTTTGGTAATGTCAGGGGCAGCACTTCAGGTTCCCTATATCAAAAAAGCTGACCATGCAGCGATATTTTCTTGTTTGGGGACAGGTAAATATAAGACTGGGAATGAGGCTGGGGGCAAGAGGCACCCTGATCAGTGGCATAGCAATGGGGTTGTGAGGGGTCCGCTCAGTGGTGTGGACAGTTCATACTAGTACATTTGAGTTGCACCATGCTGCACCCCTATGTTTTCCATCACAGCGTTGTGCAGGTACAATCGAAAAAGGTCAGCCAGCACCCCAAGCTGAGTCTGCACCTGCTGCTTTATGGCAGCAGCAGGACAGCCACTCATATGACAGTGATGAGAGCAGGGCTTCCACTCACTGTGAGCTCCACCTGTCTGCTGAGAGGTATCTCTAGTGAGATTTTGTACTTGGGGGGGGATGGAGGTGTCTCTGCTGACTGTTTGTATTTGGGGGGGTTTGGGGGTGTATGTACTGACAGTGTAAACTTGGGGTGATGGCGGGTGTCTGTACTGAAGGTCTGTACTAGGGGAAGAGTATGGTGGGTGTCTGTACTTGGGCAGGTGGTCGGGAGAAAAATTTAGGAATGTTTTTGGAGTGGTACTGTACTTAGTGGTTTGTGCTTGGGGGGGCGTCAGTACTGAAGGGTCTGTTTTGGAGGGTCAGTCTGTGCTTAAAGGTCTGTGCTTGGGGAGGGATCGATCTATCCAAGAGGGGCTTTCTGTACTAAGGGGTCTGTGATGGGGGGGGGGGGGGGGAGGCAGTTTGTGCTGAGGAAGTTGGTCTGTACTGAGGGATCTATGTTGGGGGGTGGAAATCTGTACTCAGGGATTTGTGCTGGGGGAGTCTGTACTGAGGGGCTTGTGCTGGGGGGGTCTGTACTGAGGGGTTAAGCTACGATGGGGGATTTAGGGATGTTAGGGGAGATCTGTACTGTGGAGGGTATAGGCTTGGGGGGATGATTTTTAAGGGACAGAGGGGGTAATTTTAGTTGCACTTTGTAAAGTGGCCTGTGCATTCCACACTCCTGACCCCTGCACTTTATAAAAATTCAGAATCTGGAGCTGCTTTGGAAACCAATCAGCTTAACTGAGCAAGCTAAAAATAGAAGCTGATTAGATGCTATGTGCAGCTGCTTCAGACTCCACCTGCTCCAGTTTTGATTAATTATCTTCACAATGTTTTACATTTCATACTCCTGACCACTGCACTCTAGTACATTACTCCTAAAGTTCTACTCTAAGGTTGGCTGTACATAGAAAAGCATGTTTTGGAAAAGTTTAATTTTATTATAATAAGTGTTCTGAGATTTGTAAGTGTTTGTTAGGCCTTGTACACATGAGCTTTGGTCTCTGAATGGTGATCCGTGTTAAGAGCATTTGACAGTTGGTGTATCACCTCCATACTGCCTGCTTTAACCCCTTGAATCCTGCACGTTGATGTGAGGAGCATGTACAGTGGCCTGATTCATCAAAAGAGACAGGGGGTATAATTCTCGTCACAGCTGTGAAGCAAAAGCACCACGATCATGGCATGTGTACATCCCTGGCTGCTGCCTCTGCAGCTATAAAGGGGGGATCGGTTGGCGGGCAGGTTTTACCACTCCCCCAATCTTACTTGTGAATGAGCCCTTACACTATTGCTTGTGGTACAGTCATTAAAGCATATTTTGTGGTTAAAGGACTGTGGTATAAATGTGCTGAGTAAAGGGGTGTAGGTTCAGGGTTTATTTAGCTATGCTCCTTTAATCTCCTCCTTCTGTTAGTGCACATTGCCCACACCCACAATTCAGTTCAGTGCACATAGCATCCCACTTTATTTCATACTACTAATTTTTTTTTGGGGGGGTGTAAAAAAAATGATTGGCACTGGTTGCTAGATGTGCTAGGTATGCCATTGGCTGTGATATAAATATAATTGCACAAAAGTTACACTTTAACAACTTCCCTACCGCTATTCGTACATATACACTATATTGCCAAAGTATTGGAACACTTGCCTTTATACGCACACATGAACTTTATGGCATCCCAGTCTTAGTCCATAGTGTTCAATATTGAGTTGACCCACCCTTTGCAGCTATAACAGCTTCAACTCTTCTGGGAAGGCTGTGTGTCTATGGGAATGTTTTGACCATTCTTCCAGAAGCGCATTTGTGAGGTCAGGCACTGATGTCGGATGAGAAGGCCTGGCTCACAGTTTCCACTCTAATTCATCCCAAAGGTGTTCTATTGGGTTGAAGTCAAGACCTTGTGCAGGCCAGTCAAGTTCCTCCCCCCCAAACTCACTCACCCATGTCTTTATGGACCTTGCTTTGTGCGCCAGTGCGCAGTCATGTTGGAACAGGAAAGGGCCATCCCCACACTGTTCTCACAAAGTTGGGAGCATGAAATTGTCCAAAATGTCTTGCTCACGCTTTAAGAGTTCCCTTCACTGGAACTAAGCCCAACCCTTGAAAAACACCCCCCCCACAATCCCCTCTCCACCAAACTTTACACTTGGCACAATGCAGTCAGACAAGTACCTTTGTCCTGGCAGCCTTCAATCCCTGACACCTTCATCGAATTGCCAGACAGGGAAGCGTGATTTGTCACTCCAGAGAACATGTCTCCACTGCTCTAGAGTCCAGTGGCAGAGTGCTTTACACCACTTGATCCAATGATTTCCATTTACACTTGATGATGTAAGTGCAATGCAAATGGATGCAGCTGCTTGGCCATGGAAACCCTTTCCATTAAGCTGTCTACACACTATTGTTGTGTTAATCTGAAGGCCACACAAAGTTTGGAGGTCTTTAGTTATTGATTCTGCAGACAGTTGACGACTTCTGCACAATGTGCGCTTCTGCATATGCTGACCCTGCTCTGTCATTTTACGTGGCCTACAACTTCATGGCTGAGTTGCTGTTGTTCCCAGTTGCTTCCACTTTGTTATAATACTACTAACAGTTGACCATGGAATATTTAGTAGCAAGGAAATTTCACGGATGGACTTACAGGTCCAGGTGGCAACCTATCACGGTACCAACGCTTAAATTCACTGAGCTCCTGAGTGAGCCATTCTTTCACAAATGTTTTTAGAAGCAGTCTGCATGCCTAGGTGCTTGATTTTATACACCTGTGGCCATGGAGGTGATTGGAACACCTGAATCCAATGATTTGGAGGGGTGTCCCAATACTTTTGACAATATAGTGTACGTCCTTGTAGGGAAACGGTTATATCGGGATCATGGCTGAGGCTACAAACATAAACCCAATATCATTTTTTAGTCTTGGCGATTGTCTTTCACGAAACAGTAATCCGAGTGACTAAGCAACCCCTGGATTACTTTTATGGGTGTTGGAAAGGGGTCCCACCCTCCTGCCTTCACCAGGTTCTCCAGTGTTATCAAGGAGCCCAGTAAGAATGCAACTGGTGGCATTCGGTTCCCAGCACACAGTGAGAGGAACAGAAGTTGTTCCTCACACTGTGTGATGTCAGAAAAAGGAAGCAATGACGATTTCATCAGTTCTGGTTTCAGCTCTTTGTTTACTGGCAGGCTACTGGCCAGAGATGCAGCCAATCAGACCGATCTGTGTATGATCAGCTGCATTGAAGCCCAAAGGAGAGTTGGGGGGGTCTAATAGACCCCCGATCTTTCCATAAAGAGTACCTGCCACTGCCTATTGCTGTTCCAAGGGATGTTTACATTGTTTGTGACAGCAAGAAAAGTGATAAGGAAAATTAAAGAAACAGTGTAAAATGAATAAAATAAGTAATAATTATAAAAAAGGTAAGCGCCCTAGTCTCCTCGTTCTCTAGTGCAAAGATGAACACATGTGTTGGTCCCGCACGCATATGTAAATTGATTGCACCACACATATGAGATATTAATGTGAATATCAGAGCAATAATTCTAGCATCAGATCTTCTGTGTATCTCTAAACTGGTAACCTGTAAATGCTTTTAAAGTGTCACCTATGGATAATTTAAAGTACTGTAGTTTGTCGCCATTCCACAAGTGTGCACATTTTTAAAGCATTACATGTTTGGCATATATTAACTCAGTGTAACATAATCTTTTTTATTTTACCAAAAATTAGTATTACATTGTATTTGTTTTCACTAAAATTTATTAAAGTCTATTTTTTTTTCCCAAAAAATTGCATTTGAAAAACCGCTGCTCAACTACCATGTGACACAAAAAATTGCAACACCCTTTATTTTATTCTCTAGGACCTATGCGAAACAAAAAAAATAAAAAAAAAAAAAAAAAAAAAAAAATGTGTGTGTGTAGCACCCTCTTAGTCAGGTGGTAGGATTTGTATAGGTAGGTTAAGCATAGCTGTGATTCTCTGCTTACTAGAGAGGCTGTCAGATAAATTCAGTGAGGTATTCTGCTTAACAGAGTGCTGTGATCGATTAGTTGGATTTGCTTGTGATCCTCTGTTGTTTGGGTTTATCTGAGTTCTGCCTGCCTTCAGGAAGCTATGGGAGCCTTCCAGAACATAGGTAGGAGCTAGGCAAAAGAATAGCATGAATACAGATACAGCCCTGGCCATTGCAGGGGAGGGTGACCCCATTGCATGCTGGGAGTTGATTTATGTTCTGGGAGCACATGGTTTTGGGTCTTTCCTGGGGGGGAGGATTGAACAGTCAGGCTGGAGGCAGGCTGCCTCGTCTGGCACTGGCTGTCATGTGGCCCCAGGTGGGTCGACCTGAGGGCCTGAAGTTAGAGAGAGTGGCTGACTGAAGGAAGCTCTCTGTCAAAGATCGGTCTAGTATCACTGACGAGAGAGTCACTTAAAAGATTGGAAAGAAGCAACTATTCTGTTCTTGGATAGAATACAGACACTGAGAGATCTTGGGAACTCTGTGTCCTTTGCTACCCTTCTGGTGCTGGATAGTGTGGGTCTGAGAAAAAGAAAACACTGGGCTAGTGTTCTGAAGAGCTTGTCCAACTGTTGCTACTGCAAAGGGTTTTGCTCAGCTATGTTACCTTTGGGCTGTCACAGTCTGTTGTAACTGGCATGTACCTGAGACGCTCAGCCCTGTAACTACTACTGCAAAAGGGACTTTGCTCACTCCTAAACTACTTGTTGCTATACTTGAAAAGAGAAGTCCGATACCTGCTTTCAGTCAGGGCTTCAATACTGCCTAACTAAGAGCTCAGCTAGATATCCTCAGTGTGCATAGTTCTAATTTTGGAGTATCTTACTACAACTGCCCATCCATATCCCCAGTTTTTCAATAAAACTCCAAAAAAAAAAACATCCCCTAGACTGGTCATTGAAGACAACGAGTGGAAGTGTGTGTATTTGGCTGAAGAAATTCACTGTGTCTGGCTTAAGTAAAGTTAGGTAAAGTAAGGGCGAAGTATATATATATATAAAGTAGATTAAAGGGCAAAGTAGATATATACAGTGCTCAGCATAAATGAGTACACCCCTTTTGAAAAGTAACATTTTAATCAATACCTCAATGAACACAAGAACAATTTCCAAAATTTTGACAAAAATTAGTCCTATAGAACATTTGTTTAGCTCATTACACAAAAGTAAGGTTATTAATATAACTTAGATTACAAAATCTTCAGTTTTACTCAAAATTAGTTGATGCAAAAATGAATATGCCCCGCAACAAAAGCTACTACATCTATTATTTTGTATGACCTCCATGATTTGTAAGGACAGCACCAAGTCTTCTAGGTATAGAATGAACAAGTTGGTGACATATTGCAACATCAATCTTTTTCCATTCTTCAAGAATGACCTATTTTAGAGCCTGGATGCTGGATGGAGAGTGATGCTCAACTTGTCTTTTCAGAATTCTCTATAGGTGTTCGATTGGGTTCAGATCAGGAGACATACTTGGCCACTGAATCACTTTCACCCTGTTCTTCTTCAGAAATGCAACTGTGGTCTTAGATGTGTGCTTTGGATCATTGTCATGATTGAAAAAGTGCATGACGACCAAGGGCACAAAGTGATGGTAGCATCTTATCTATCAATATAGAGCAGAACATCTGTGAATTCATGATGCCATCAATATAATGCAGCTCCCTGACACCAGCAGCACCCATGCAGCCCCACAGAAGGACACTGCCACCACCATGTTTCGCTGTAGGCACCATGCATTTTTCTTTGTACTCCACACCTTTGTGACTCCATTCAGTTTTGAAGCCATCAGTTCCAAAAACATCCCAGTAGTCTTCTTCTTTTACAGCATGGGCCCTGGCAAATTCTAGGTGGACTTTTTTGTACATGGGCTTTAGGAGAGGCTTCCTTCATGGACGATACCCATGCATGCCATTTCTCTGCAGTGTACACTATATTGTGTCACAGGAAACAATCACCCCTTCTACTTCTGTAGCTAACTGCAGTGAACTTGCATGATGATTTTCTTCAACCCTTCTCATCAGAAGACACTCTCATCGAGGTGTTAACTTCCATGGAAGGCCTGGACGTCTCTGTGAGATGTTTGCAGTTCCATCTTTGTTAAATTTTTGTATCACTTTTGCTACAGTCTGAATGATAAGTAAAGCTTTTCTGATCATCTTGTAGCCTTCACCTTTCTTGTGTAAAGAAATTCTCAGGCCTTGTGACATTTCTCTTCCATGTGATGTCATTGCTGACAGCATGACATAGGAATCAACTGTCTGCTGGACACCTGTTTAATGAATAATTAGACTGTTTAATGAATAATTAGTAGCTGAATTCTTGTTAGTTAGGATTTTGTTGTCTAAAATGTAGCTTTTCTCCTAAAACTTTCATTGGGGTGTATTCATTTTTGCAACATGTTCTTGAATGAATTTGTTAGGAAAAATACTTTTTTGAGTGTGCAAATTAACAACTTAAGAAAATATTGATTCTGAAGGAAAAGTAATGGTTTCCTTACAAATCTGTTGGGGTGTACTCATTTATGCTGATCATTGTATATAATTTTTGGAGGTTCTAAGTAATTTTCTAGCAAAAAAATAGGAGAGAAGTTTCAGAATTTGCCCAGTAGGCAAGTTGTTAAATAGAATGTGAAGTGGTTTGTATATACAGTATTTCTTTATTTATTATGGTCAGACAATTTTTTAAAATATATTTTTTATAAACATGAGATGTATCAATAGTACATATGAACCAGATAAGAATCATGTGTGCACAGCAAATGCTCTCAAAACTTTACCTCAATTCATTAGTGGTCCTTTTCTCCCACCATGGTCGTTCTACCTGTACAACTGGCAAGATTCAGCTGTTATTTTTACAGCCAGGCCCTGCTAAGTATCTTAGGAACTGCTGCCAAGGTTCCTGTTCAAAATATGTCTGCAAACAGCATTTTCAAGCTTAATTAAGGCTACGTTCACACTAGCGTTGTGTGCAGGCGGCAGAGAGACGTTTGGGAAGCGTTTTTACCACTTCCCAAACGCCTCGGACAATTCTGCACATTGCAGCACATGGTGCTGTTCTAACGTCAAAACGGACGCCTCTGATCGAGTCAGGAGGCATTGAAGCCTCCTATTCTAGTCTATTCTAGTCTCCCGCCGGCATTTGCGGTGCGGTTGCGATGCGGTTGCGGGGCGTTTGCGGAGCGGTAACACCATTCAAACTTCCTTCTAGGCATTTGTGGGATTTTTTAACACTCGGCAAATGCCTAGCAACTGCCACTAAAGCACGCATGCGGCGTTTGCGGAGTGTTTGCCGAGCGTTCAAAAAACGCCGGACCAACGCTTGCCAAACGCTATAGGGGCGTTTGGCAAGCGTTGATAAAACAGTCAAGTGTGAACGAGCCCTAATAAATATGTTGAAACAAGATTATTATTACCACATATTTATATAAATTATTAATAAACAAAGAATCACGAGCGCCAACAAATTTTTATATTAATTTTTTTCTTTATATATATATATTTTTTTCATTTAATATTTTCTCATTTCTTTTTCTTTCTTTTTTAATGTGTGTTAATATGTATTTAATAATTTTTTTTGTTTCTTATTAAAATCAAAGTTTTAAATGTTGATATTCATATTTGTAATAGGCATTGTCTTCATGGGATCATTATTGTAATACCGGTTAATTAATGAATGATATCCTGGAATTTGAATTGTCATTTTTTGTGATGTGATATATATTGTAAAGGG